CAATCTCCTAGCGTTCCTTCGAATTCTTTCGAAGGAATGCTAGGAAATCAATTCTCACATTTCTCCGACTCGTAGCTGTTGTGGGACGTCCTCTTGCTTCCCTGTCCTCTTCGGTCTTCAGTTCTTTATAGCGTCGTACTGTATTCTGAACCGTCCTTCGAGGTACGGAAAGGATCTTCACAATTTCTCTTGTTTGCTTGCCGTCGTTGTGAAGTTTGATGATCGCGCTCCGTAGGTCAGAACGACGGACCATTTTGTATTCGAGTACGTAGGAATTACGCAACCTCCAGGCAACATATCACAAGCGAGTGAAACAGGAAAATCTCCAAGAAGTGTTAAAAAATTCAAAACGTATAGGTGCACCAGTAATTTTGCCCCACCCTGTACTTCAGTGTTTTATCACCGCACAAGTTTTCGAATCCGAAATTCGCACGTTTTCCAAGGGATATTTTATCTTTCAAGTGAGTCCTCGAATCTGAAGGGATGTGAAGCACACGGCGCATCCCAGAGTGGGCCCAGTTGGTTGCGCGCGCTTCAGCTACGGCTCTCTGGAGAAAGAATCTCAATTCAGGAAAAATCAAGAGGATTCTGAAAGGGTTCATGTGAAATTACAGGGAGGAGTACACCATTCAACAAGAAACGCAGCCTTCAGCGTCAAATTCACAAGCATGTAACCTTTAAAGTTGAGATACGCTAAACAATTTTACACTTTTGGAAAGAGAAAAGCACGAGGATTCCGAATCTGCTCCTACTTTAGTATATAATCGCCCCTGAAAGGAGCTATAGTCGTTGAAATAGTGCCAATGCAGCGAAAAAGTACCTTTCGGCGGTACTCGGGCAAAAATCCTCAACGTGGCCATTTTTTAAATACTGGACGTATGAAGCAGTTTTAGTAACCGTTTGATAGAGAAAATCTTCTAGTTTTGTATGACGTATCAACTTTTCGGATTTGACGAAAATGAAGCAAGTTATGGCTTCGGAAAGTGTAAAAACTCGTGCTCATCATGAATTTTCCTCGTTAATTGATCTAAATTTGTTATTTTTTCATAA